GCGTGTAGTGATTGACAGGGACTGGTGTAGTCTACAGCAATGAGATGTTCTGGGAGGCTGTAGATACCTTTATTTTCTGATTTTGTCTCTGCTACTGTTGTTCTTACTGAGCTTCATCAAATCATTTCACTTTTCTCTGCTTCAGGTGCCCTATCTACAAAGTGTGGGTGATAGTTGTATTTTGTAAAGCGTGAGATTTAGAGCTATGACATGCTCTGCTGTGCTGATCTGAAACTCAGTGAAGGCAATGGAATTATTTTGCTTGGCTTCAGACAGGGCTATTGTTAGAATTCATTTAAGGCAATTGTTGCAGTTCATTTTAAAATATCTGGCTTCCATCTGTTTAGAGATGTATGCTACCTTCCAGCAATCATAACTTACACTGGCTGTTCTTTCTTAGATCTAACACAAATTAGAGAGTCAAGTAGACCTGTGGCTTGGATGTATCTTGCTACTTCTCAATTGCTGTACCTTACTGGTATAAATAAACATGAATCCTCCTGAGGAGGCAGAAAATCTGTTTTATTTGAAAATATATAAATATTTGGCAAGTAGCTAATCCAGAGAAAAAGAAAAAGGGAAGAAAAGAAACTTAAGGAGCTGCAGATATGGTGCATTGTAACTTCCTATGCTAAGAGTTTAGCATCTCAAATCCAAGGTTGAATTTACTTAATTTTTAAAGTGAGCATTGTCCTTATAATTAACTTCATTAATGGAATCATTTATTAATAAACATAAATAAATCAGAACTAAAAATAAAGAAATAAACAAACAGAACGTGGCAAAAACTTAAAATCCAGTCACCTGTAAAAGAGCTGCAGGAGATGTAGATGAAATCCTATTAAGTCCTTCATCCAAAGTCTATGAGCACTTTTACTTTAAAAATCTGTATTGAATCATGCCAGTTTATCTCCTGAGCAATAAGTAGGGGTTAGGGGACAGTGAAAAAAGGGAAGCCCTGATCCCACGAAGTCAGTGATAAAATCTGTATTATTTATATAGCATTCTCTGCTCCTTTTCTTACTCCTTTTGGTTTATGGGTCTCATCTGTGCTACTCCTTTCTTGAGGAACTCATTTATTGTCTGGCTACAAGAATGTCCTCTCTTTTCCTTGAACTCTTTCTACAGTCCCATAAATTAAGATTCCTTTGCTCTCTGCATTGGGGAATTTTTTATTTTCTTTCTAGCCCATTCTCGTGCTGACAGAACTGACTCCTGGCCATATACCTACAGATACTATTGAAAGAGTGGCCCAAAGATCGGGCACTACTAATGCCTTCGGTGTTACACAGAGCAGGCAGCTTTTCTTCATGAGAAGCACTGTGCTATGATCTCAGGAATTAGTTGTAGAAAGGATGCACAGTGGAAAGGGAACAGAAATTATGACTGAGCTAAAAGCCACCAGGTATTATTGGCTAAATACCTAGGAATTAGTCTCTGTGTGACAGCAAGAGTGGGAAACCTAGGGAAAAAAAGGAGAAAAAAATTCACATATTTTAATCTGTCAAAACCATATGTGAAGCAATGCCCTCTCATTGTGCAGACAGCTGGTATTTTGGCAGATGTGAAGACATAGGCAGAATGCTGAGGAGGCTTGTTTTAGAAGCCTGTGCTCATGTTAAGTAGCAGAGGCATGTTTAAACGCCTGCCCCTTCATTCTTGGGCCTTCATTGCAGTAGCTTCAAATCAGCTAGAAACCTGGGCTAGCATTTCCCTGTATGGATTCCTGTATTCCTGTCTTGGCTTACAGATGTATACAGGTGGCTTGACTTCAGAGGATACTGTTGTATTCTTCTCCTCTTCTTTTTCTTCTTTTCCCCCTCTCCAGTTACTGGAGGTTCGGTGCCTTTTTGGTGGATTGGGGTCTTGGTTTTGGGCAATCACACTTGAAAAATACAGGCTGAGCCCACAAGGTATTTTCCAGTTAGAGAGTAAGAAAAACATTTTTGTCATTCATTCATTTATTTATACTTTTGATTGTGATGTCTTTGCTGAGGAAATGTTAGCATAGTTTAGTTTGATCTGGACTTGATCTATTTCACTGGGTCCCCATTTTGTTTTAGATTGGGTCCTTGCTGAACGTAAGGATGGTCTGCCACCAAGACTTAACATAACTTGATAGTGCTAACCAGGTCACAGTGGAGACACATTTATCATGAAAGTTGAGGAGCAACTGCAGGACAGGACAGCCTACTTACGGCTTTGTTGAAACTGGGATCCAACCCCAGCCCAAGACTGAGGACTCCATTTTTCTTCTGGTACACCCCAGGAAATCTCTTGAGTATGCTGGCTTTTACTCCAGCAGCTCGTTAGACCATGCAGCAAATATTTTCCAAGACATGGCATCAGAAATGCAGTTAGTACATTTCAGTTCTGGAGTCATCAGCTTGTACATGTTCTACTGACATGGTACACCAGGGCTGGGAGGTTAATCTAATGGGCAGTCTCATGTTCTGGATCTCTATTTCTTGGCTGCTCTGGCCATGATACTGACTTACCGTTGCATCTTCCCTGCAGCTCCTTTACTGTGTGCACTGGCTTCTGCCAGGAAGTATAACCAAATCAGCTTTAATACCTGAGTAGAAAATTACTGTTGACATTACTACTTTTCATTTCTAAGTGCTGACAGCCTTCATGAGACAAGTATCAAAAGTCCCTGTCCCAGAGAGCTTACAGTCCAAAGAAGATAAGTGCACTGTGAGGCCACTGCGGTGGAAAGACACACATGATTTCAAAGAAAATAAACAGCTCTCCAACAGGAAGGCAGGAGAAGGGTGGTTTCATAAATGAGTGCTTGGCTTCTCTAAAGTCGAAAACCAGAGTCAGCGTATAATGGAGTGCATTTCCACTAATGAGACATCCAATGTACATTGTATATTTAGTTTGGATTTTTTTCTTGTTGCTCATCTCGATGGCCTTGATCCCAGGCGCTCTAACTTCCCTGTGCAAGTTGCTGAAAATGTATCAAACGATCACCTAAATCTTGAGGTTTACTGCTCCATCATTATTTTTCTAGCAGCCACCATGGAGTGAGGCTGAACAGTTTCAGTCCTCAGTTACCCTCACAGCAGCACTTGACAATTTTGTGCAACATTTTCTTTTTTTCCCAGTTTCATGATTCTTTTTTTTGCCATTCATACTGGCCCACAGGTCCTACTTACTTTTCTTTAATACAGCACGTAAAGAAAAATTTTCATGTTATGTCAGAATCTTAAGCTTTAATGGCTTTTTACATCCATAGCATTTATATCTTTAAAACTCTGTCCAACCATTCCCCCTGCATCTTCAAAATGGCATCTGACCTTCAGGTCTGAGAATGTAAGTCTTCATGGCTTTCTACTGAAGAAAGAATTCACTTGGTATGGTAGGCAACACAGGCATGGTGCAAGCAGAAGCAGCAGCACCTTTGACAAGCCCATGGCAGACCATTGCTTTAAAATGCCCCTGGATTTCTTCTCTCAGCTTCATGTAAAGCATTACCTACCTCTTGGACAGCTGGGTATGCACAACAGATGTGCAGTCAAGAAGTGGTAGGGAAAACAGGAATGTCAGCACTATGCAGTGTTACTCTTGGAGTGGCTGCCTTCAGAGCCCACAGACCCTGCTTAGCAGCACCATGAGCAGGCAAAGCAAGCAAGCATTGGGTGAAGAAGTCTAGTACAAGAAACATGCAAAAACTAATACATCTAGTGGTCTGTGCTTTAGTTCCTTGTGAAATAAGAACGAGGAGAGGAAAATAAAGTTTTGAAGGAAGCTTTTGCAAGACAAAAAGATCCTTAGCATCAGTGGACATTTTGCATCCTGATCCTATTTTTCTCAAATTTTGGCATTCTAAAGCTTTAGTATTTTCATTTGAGACTTGAAATATTGCTATTCCATCTGAGATTTTCTGCCATATCTGCCTATGCAAATGTTTTTTACCTCAAGGAAGAAAGAGCAAGATTCTGAAGAAGGAAGTTTACATAAACCAAAAGAAGACAGACACGTTGGGCCTAAGGGAGTTTGCTGGACTCTTCTTTCTTAATTTTTTTACGTGGTAAAGCAATGAGCTACACTTAAAGTTTATGATGCAAAAAAAAAAACCATCTGCCCTTTTGGGAGGGAAAAATGAACTATATCTTCTGGAGTTTCCTGCAGGTTCCCTCTGCCCACATGAAACTGAAAACAAAAGCTTTCCTCTGTCATTCTCTAGATTTCCAAGTCATATATCATCTGCTCTAACAAGTGCCCTAAAAAGCATACTTAATATGCACATATGGACTTCTACATGTAACATTATAAAATAAAGGTCTTAAACATTTAGAAGTATGTTGTAATCTTGTTAGGCTTGTATAGCACTTATTATTAATGGGAATAAAAGGCAGGTGTCTCTGTGAATACAAATGCATTCTTCATAGTTGCTTTAAATAAACCAAAGTTAAACAAGACAAAGACAATGCTGTGTGAATACTGTGTTCTCCAGTATCTTATAACATCATGGCACTCTGCTTAAAAAAAATACTTGAACACATCTTCTCATGTGTGCACACTGGAGGACATATGGTGCATTTCTGCTTTAAATTTGAATTTCCTTAATTTTGCAGGTTTAACTTATTCCCTTAATGATAGTTTAACAGGCTTTTTTTTAATGGTTCAGTTTTGTTTTATTACAGTTGTCTTAAAGGGATATTAGAGATATAAAGGTTATTAGAGGGATAGAAGAAGGAAAAATTGCGC